GTCCATCCTCAAAACTCATCTGTTTAAAATTGCTTATGTTTAAACCTCTGTATGCTCTTAACTTTTATCTGTTATTTTTATTATTGTGTATATTTTCAGTTTTTGTGTTTTTATCTGTTGTACAGTGTCCTTGGGTGCTTTGAAAGGCGCTATTTTTAAATAAAATGTATTATTATTATTATTATTATTGTTTAATATTTAACTGAAACTTTGATCCCTTTTTCTTTCCTTTTGTTGCTCAAATCTTTGCCGCACAGGATTCAGGATATGTACTCCCTTTTCTGGTCTCAGAGTCTTGTGTTTCTATTATTGTAGACCAAAGGATTCAAATATGCAAGTCTTTTATAAATTACCAAAAATGTATTCAATATTGACTTAGATCCTGATACAAACCAGTCTTAACAGCAAAGTAAATCAGTTGTAGCTATCTGTGCACAAAAAGGTAAGTACATTTTTCAAAATGTTATCAAACAGTATGTTTTCCCTCTTTTCTAACCTTTTTTTTTATTAATGTGTTTCCACATCAAAGCTCTGTTCTTACAAATAAAACCAGTGCCTTCACTCCAGCCGAGTACTCCTCCTGTGTTGCAGATATCACTTTAGATAGAAGCTGAATGGAGTCTATAAATTCTCTCAGTACTGAGTCATGTTTGCATTTCTGTGGCTAGGTATTCGCTTTCTAGTTATCACTCCACACTACACCCACATAAGCATTTATATATATATGTAAAACATTTTCAATAATTAAAAACTAATCTGAGACAAACCAGCTCTGCAAGTTAACTGACACTGAAATGAATTAAAAGCGAGTGAGTTAAAATCAAAATGAAACAAAAATAAAAAGTAATTCGAACATATAAAAATGTAATAACTTTGATAAATAATATGTTTCTAATATTATAGTTTTCATCTTCCATTCAAAATTAGCTGCTCTGCTCCCCTTACCCATCAGTGGGGTTAGTCAGATGCTGCCACTTTCACGTCAGCAAGCAGGGGAAACGATGGGTTTACTCAGCGAGCTGATAACCAGATTCGCTGAATGCTTATCCGATTGCCAGTGTTAGTTTAAGTGACTCCAGATAACGGAAAGATAACTTAGGTATGTTGATCTTGCTTTGTAGTATAGGGCCCTGGTTGTGAGAGCCTTGAGCCCCGGGTGAGAGGTGGGGAGCACCCTGAACACGACACAAGTTATTCAAAAAGTCACTAATTAAAATTTAATTCAGCTGGACAACATTTCAAATAAGTCAACAGTAATTTTCAAAAATATTTTGACAAACAGAAAGATGCGCAGTGGATCCAAACATTGCATATCTGAGTTTTAACTTTGGGCTAAGTATTACTATGGTTGTTAGTAAAGGACCCAAATGCAAAACCTAAGAAAACAAAAACCCGCCTTTTTAGGTTCATGGCTAAATTTAAAGTACAAAATCCACAGCGAGATAACAAATGACATCCAAAGTTCCAGGGAAAAACCCCAGGGATACAGTGACAGCACAATAAAAGAAAAAGTGTAATCAGGATTATTTATACACTGAGGACTGATGGGGGATGGGACACAGATGAGAAGTGAGATGTGAAAACTAATCAACAAAAGGTGAAAGCAACCAGGGAATCAGGGGAGGACAGACAGGGAACAAAACTAATCTTCAAGTAAAACAGGAATTAACCTCCAACATGTGCTTATGAAGTACAAAACAAGAAAACATAACGAGACCAAGAAAATACAAATACAAGCAGAGGGGAAACCATTATGAATATCAAAGAATACAAAAACAAAAAACCCACAACCCGACACCGCTGAAAATCCCAGGGTCCACACCAGAGATCATGACAAGCGTGCAGTGGTTTCCATTGTGTTTGCCCTGTTTCAGTGTGGTGTGCATATAGACACACCCAATCCTTGCATTCCTTTTCACACCAACACATACGGAATTACAGAATGTCTAATTCCAGCCTGCAAGGCTCTGCATTATGCATATTTTCATAAAAATTAAAATCAAATTTGTATTTTTTTAAATTTTACACAGGTTTGAGGCATCAGCTGTGTGTTTTTAATCTTTGTGTGTACTGTTTAATTTTCCTTCATATATTTAATTCCTATCAGACTGTTTTGCAGGGGTTTAAGCAGCATATTGTAGCTGTAATTGTACAATGCAAAGAGTTAGAAATAAACTATGTACTTATATTCCTATTTAAATAATTTCCTTTTTTTCCTGAAGCCTATCAGGCAGCTCTGCTGCTCCGTCAGGACCCCTCCAATGACTGCCCGGACCGCCAGCGCACAGTTCGTACTGTGATCCAGAAACGGGGCATCAATGAGCCCATCCTGGGTGCAGAATACAGGAACCGCAGAATTACAATTCGAAACAGTATGTTTGATAACTATAATGCTGCAGTACAGTCTAAACGTATTTCAATTTCTTTCACATTTCAGACTAATGTGATGTTTTCTGACAACAGCTGCTGATCTGGTCATCACTGAGGTGATGTGGTGGGATAATGGTGTGTATTTTTGCACCATTGATGCGCCCGGTGACACAACAGGGGACTCGGATCGTGAAGTCAAGCTCATCGTGTTCCGTAAGTCCCCTCAGTCGCTTCAAGTAGAGTTATTTGAGGTAGTAAAATGTAAAATATACTGGTATATCAGTAATGTTGTGAGTAATTATGTTTTACTGTCACCTGCTCCAGACTGGCTGACGGTCCTGTTAATCATCATCGGTGGTCTCCTGCTCATCATGCTCTTTTGCATATGCTGCTGTCAGTGCTGCCCGCAAAATTGTTGCTGCTATGTCCGCTGCCCTTGTTGTCCTCGGACATGCTGCTGTCCAGAAAAAGGTAGAAGAAATGCTTTTTTGGATTGTACATTTTTAGCTGTAGCTCTATAGGTGGCAGATTCACTTCACTAAATCATGAGAAAGAGACTTCTGTTGCCAGAAAAGTATTCAAACATGTAACTATGTGCCAAAGTAGAAATACCGCAGCTGAATAGGCTTCAGCTGGAAATCTACGTCATAGCTTACAACACAACCAGAAACAGCTTTTAACCCCAAAGCGTAACTGTCCATATAACCTGACACGCAGCTCCTGAGAAATGTAACTACACACCGGGTCGACACAGCTCTTAACTATTGTTATTGGATAGTTTAGCAAGATCGATTCCTCCTCAACGCAGTTTTTGACTTTATCAGTGAGAGAATAACAATGATTGCATAATCATAACGTAAATATAAAGACTCAGAATAGTTAGCAAATTTTTCGAAGGACATTGCTGAAATCAAAATGGACGTGAGGAAATGTACAGAGAAGTGGAAAAGCCAGAGGGACATTGTATATCTTTACAAATATTAATCACAGTTAAATTAAGAGGGGATGGCAGTAAAAACTCTGGAGTTGTGATGTCATCAAGTACACTGCCGTTCCAATTGTAGAACGATCGCGCTGCGTTCTCGGGAAGTCCGGACTCCTGTGTGAACTTCCGAAGTCCGGACTAGCGAAAAGGCGAGTACGGACTTGCGTACTTGAGTATTTAGAAACGGCCTAACAGTCTGCAGTCTATGGACTAACCTCAGCCAACCCCAGCTAACAGTGTTAGCTTGGTGGCGAGTAGCCTTCATTAATAGTAATAAAAATCACACAGCAATAGTACACCGAAGATACTGAAGTTTCACCCATCCCATTCTTCTTATGAAGTGGTGTCCAAGTAAGAAATGCATTCCTGCCCGTACACTGCTCGCTCTTGGTCCATTGTGTAACTGACGCCACCAACATTAACAGGACGCTTACATTAGAGCCTCTTATTGCGTGTTTTGTTTTGATTTGCAGCAATCAGAATCAGAGAAAATGTATTAATTCTGAATGGAAACTGAGTAAAAAAAAAAGAAATTTAAAGAAAGTCCGCAGGTTGCACTCAAACCCAGGCCGGCCTCTCTCAGCTATACGATATATGATTACATGCTCATCCAACTGAGCTAAACCTGCACCCAACTGTTTTTTAATCACTAAAATTGGAAAAGGCATAGAGTGGGCATAGGCTAACATATGAAACAAGAAATGACTGCCGTGTATTCTATTTATTTCCACAAAGTAACTGTATTCTGATTACCACCTATTTAAATGGAAACTGTAATGGAATGTAGTTACTCATATTTTATATTTTAAATATGTAACGCTGGTACATGTACTCCGTTACTCCCCAACACTGTATATAAAGCATTGGGATACGACTACATGGTAAAAAACACATAGACACTTAAAAGTATAAATGTGGGCAATGACATCGGCGACTTACGTAGATCTTTGCAATGGCTTCCTGCAGAAGTCTAAATCAGGCATTAGTTAAAAGTTTAATATTTCACAAGTATTATCAGCCATGTATTTACATTTTCCATGAGTCATTTTTCTTAACCACTTATCCAGTTCAGGGTGCCACTTAATTTAATAAACATGTATTTGTACCATCGGAGGAAACCACAGTGCATGGAGAGAACCCATACGCCGTATCTCATTATTACTGCATAAACCATTTTGCAATTTTAAACTGTTTAATTATTTTTAAGTAAGCCTGTAGTCTAAGATAAAGAGAGTTATTATGAGTCGATATAGATCAAACAAATTTAAAATCCATAGAGAAAATTTTTTAAATGTTTGATGAGGACATGAATTGTAAATGGTATGCAGCACTGTTCTTTTGAAGGTCACCGCAGCTACCAGATGTGTCATTGTGTTTCATATAATCCTGTGTGTGTGTGCAGCCCTGTGTGTTCTCGAAAATATGTGAAATATGCACTCTGCAAGCACATTGTAATTATGTGCCCTTCTCACGGCATGCTACAAAAGAGGAAATACATTAGTAAAGAAATGTAAGCTGAAATTCCCCTCAGTTTGTTTTAAGACAGAATATTTACTGAGATGGTCCAGTGTACTTTAAAAACAAGCAGTATTATTATTATCCTCTGCTGTAAATCAGTATCTGCTGGTTAAGTACCTATATCAGTCTTTTTGAACTGCTTGCTCTGTGTGCTTTGACTTCAGCTGTGATGGAGCACAAGATGCTGAAAGAAGCTCGGAAAGCTATGTTACCCTGGATGAATGGTCAGCCCATTTATGCTCCCATCAGCTCCAATGCTTCCTCCCAGGGCGTTCCCATTCTGTATTCAGGTGAGTAAGGGAAAGCACAATAAGACTTGTCCTTAATCTTTTATTTGCAGTGACGTAAAATAAACCCCCAAACAATGTGGAATTCTGCATATGGGCATCAGAGCTTTAATTCACTTCAGCTGGTGAAGGTAGCAGATCTGCAATACAAGCCTTTGAAGCAGGCTTGTATTGCAGTCATGCCCTTGTTATTATTTATTTATTTATTTTACCTCTGGTTGTAATGTGGTTTGTTTCCACCACGTGAACTCTTTTTTTGCAAGAAGCCTCGATTTTTGGAATCTGCTCTTGCTGCCCTGTGTGTATCTGCATTATAACAGCGTTAAAACCATAGACTGTACATAAAAGACGATTCAAAGCTGCCTCATTGGTTTGTGCACTCTTGCTTTTTCACACTTGTTTGTATTTTTTAAAATCTGGATTAGATATTAGTCAGATATGGAGGGCACTGCATTTTCGACCTGAAACATATTCTGCTTCATCTTCTCTTTTACTTTAAAGCTGATGATAAATCACAAGATAAACTTCATGTTGTATTCAGGAAGTGATTGAGCACGTAAACAGAAAAATGTTTACTAAGGCAATAAAGCAAGAATAGTTATTCGGCTATATTATATACAGTCTGATTTCTCTTTGCAGTCAGAGGAGTTGCCCCCTGCTGGCCAATAGAAAGAATACTGGTTTAAGACTCTTCTGTACTGGCTTTGTCTTTTTTATACAGTCTGTGTTTAATACTGGTTCAACACTTCATGTGAGCATTTCAGTGGTCACAATGGCTTTCATTCTAAAACGTTTACATGCTACACATATGCACCGGCCCTACAAGCACTGACAGCAGCCCATTCGTTCATTTTCATTACTGACACTGGATTGCTCAATCAAATCTCTTAATGTAATTGGGCCCGCCCCTGCCTTCCCTGTGCACTCATGCACCTTGCAGAACAGACATCTCATGGCATGAGAATAGTTTCTTTCCCCAGGCTGTTGGACTACATGCTACAATAACAACCTTATTTAGTCAGCCTATAACAACATTGCACACCAGATTCAGTTAAAGCACTTAATCATAGGCTTACTTATTTCTTATTTTCTAGTTGTACTCTGTATATCTGCATCTCTAAGTAGTTAGTATATATTCCTTTTCTGTGTGTTTGTAATATATATATATATATATATATATACATATACTGCAAATACCATATGTTCTATTTCTGTACCACTGTTTTTTGCATCATGGCACTGCGACAAATTCCTTGTTTGTGTACAAATTTGGCAATACTCCTCTAAACAATACTCCTCCCTTCAAATGTCCAGAGAATAACTTGAGTTCATGTAGGTTCAACAGTTGTTGTTTATCTTCTTAATCGCTGTCAGTTTGGTTTCAGATTCATACTCAGACTACCCAAACAAGCACAACTTTGCCATGGCTCCCATGCAGCTGTCACCCATGGGCCTACAGCAGCAGCCGCCGCCTCCTCCTTTACACTATGGCAACAGCAGTGTGCGTGGCAGCATTCATGGTAACAACCAAGTGTTGGAATACTTCGAGAATCAAGTGAGAGGGCTTGATGTCATTGCACCAGGGATGGCTCCTCATGCTGTCCAGAATGTGCCTCCATTACAGGCTCAGCCTGCTCCTCCACAAGTTTCCTACACACCAGGGCCTCCGAGTGTGTTGTCAGCACTGGATGAGATGGGGACGAGAGGGATGGAGAGAAGAGTGATCACCCTGCCTCCTATTATTCAGCGTGTACCCAGCTTTTCTTCACGCAGGGGCCCTGGTGGTGGAGATGGAACTAGGGGGGCTCTCAGGATGTCCAGCCAGTCCAGTGGGAGTACAAACCGCTCAGCAGGTGGTCTCCACCGCAACAGTCGTGGATCAAGAGACAGATACAGAAGTGCCTCTCCTCCCAGGCGGGGAATCCTGCGTGATTACATTGATGATTCGGATAGGGACACCAGGCGGGGAAGAGCATCTCACAGGAGGAACGAGAGAGGGAGTTCGTCCAGGCACCGTGCCCGAAGTCGCGATGACCTCATGGATGAGCTGCAAAGCAGAGCTCCTCGTAGGCAGAGGAGCTACTCACCTCCCCTGCACTGCAACGGGTCCTGGAGCTCAGATGAAGAGGACAGTATGAGAAGAAAAGGAGGAAAAGGGAGGGACTGGTCAGAGTTGCCTCCCAGCTACCACTCCATCGACATTCAGCCTCCACGCAGTAACAACCAGAGGAACTACGACCGCCTTTCTGTAAGATCCACACACAGCTAGTGACACACTCTGACCCAGTGGGGTGTCCTTTTATTCTTCTTTTTTCTTGCATGGCTTTTAATATGCCAGCCACACCTTTAGGTTGGCAGTGTCAGTCAGTGCACCACTGTGATCCTACAACGACTCCAGAGTTATTGTATTTTAACTGAAATGTGTTTAGAATCCTGACCGGGGACACTGAAATGATTCAGTGTATGAAATGGTTTGAAGAGGTTTTATGCAAAACTAATAGCAAAACTATGAGAAAACTATAAAAGTGGGCAATTTCACAGAACTGCATTTAGGGGTTTTAATTAATTGCAAATTAAGCAAAAGACTGATTTGTAAAGATTTTTTCATACATGTATACCTGAAGGTGTGGATGAAGTGCCATTAATTTAGTCTTAACTACTTTCATTTTTTATTTTCTTCTAATGTCTTGGTGCTTTTCTCTAACTGTGTGCGTCACCTCATCTTAAATTCTAATTTCACCTTTTTCATTTTTCTCTCGTAGGATCGAAGCTCCCATAGCAACACCACCGTAGTCATCTGAAACATTTCTGTCTTTTGATCTTTTCTTGAAAACGGTAAAAATAATGATGAAGAAGTCGGTGCCTGTTTGGTCACCTGGAAGGAACAAAGATGTTGTTGATTCATTTAGTAGTGTAAACATATTGTATGAGTATAATTGTACCGTTATGCCGTTACTGCGCGTAACGGCACCAAAAATAACTGTTCGGGTGATGGTGTATACTGCAGGTGATGTGCAGCTGCATGAAGTCATATTATTGATTGTTATTAATATGATTGTATGGGATTCTTGTCCTAGTTCTCTTGAATTGTCTTATGTGTGGTGATGGATTTTTTGGGTTAAGTGCGTTTGTCGTTGTAAAAAGGTGTCTGTGCTGAAAAAGATCCAGGACTCGCAGAAGAGATTCCTACTTTCTAGTTTTACTTTCTGGTTAAGCATAAGTTTAATAAAGATACAGTGTTTATTTGTTTTTATTTTTGTTTTGCTCTTAAGTTTGTTTTTTACAGTAATTTCTTTTTTGCCTTCCTTACGCTATTTAAAAATTGTTTTTATATATATGTATATATTTTTTTTTATCCATTGTACGTGGATAAAGCAGTAACGGTAGCAATGGAAACTACATTTGCAGGAAGATGGACTGATTAGTGGATGTTTTGAGATCTGGATGCACCCACACCGAAATATAATTGTGACTGGATTTTTTTTTTTTTAATAGAGATGTAACTTTGTTGTAAAGTATGTGTTTTTAATAAAATCTTTACAATACTGCCTGCATGACGTGGATTTTATTTCATTAGTCCTGTTATAGTAGCCCATTACCTCAGGGGTGAGTGGATTACTTGGACATTGGGGATACTAAAGTCACATATCAGTTTGCATTATGAACTAGTATAGTTTGCAGTGGCAATGTTTTAGTCATATTAGTCATTACAACAGCACAATCAAACTGCCTGAGAAAAGAGAGTAAAATATTAAAAACCATGTAGGAGGAAAGTAATTCAAGTTTTTAGTACATGTGATAAATGGCCGGATATAGCACCTATTTACAGTGACTGAGCACTGCAGCCCTCATTCACCCAATCACACACAGATTCCTACAAGCAGTTTTTTCCTAACCCTTGTCTAACATTTGCACTCGCACTCTGATGGATGCATCGGGGGCAATTCGGGGTTCAGTATTTTCCCAGAGGATACTTCAGCATGCAGATAGGAGGAGCCAGGGATCAAACCACAAAACTTCAGATTTTTAGATGGCCCACTTTACCACCACAGTCTCTGCACAGCTGAACAAATGCCAGGTGCTTTGGATCTACAAAGGCGGCTAATGTTCAGTTTTTGAATTGTTAAAAGGGCAAAAAGGGAATATGAATGTATTCATCAAGAATTAAACAGTAATAAACAAACATGGCACCGTCTCTCTAATTCAAAGATATTGATTTTGTCAAACTATAGGTAGGAGTGATATTACTCTTCATACACATGGCTGAGACAATGACTGTGTAAAAGAAGGTTTTCTGGATGTGTCATTTGTCATATTATTATTAACCCACAGGACCCCAAATCCACATTATAATCAACATTCACCCTGGGAAAAAATAAGTGAGGGAGCCAAACTGGCTCTGGATGTCCCGGTTACTTCACAGTAAATAAGACACAAACACTCTTTAACTCACAATAGAAGTGAAGACCAATGACGTTACATCAGGTTTTATTTAACCTTGTCTTTGTTTAATCTTTGCTAAAGAAGATCTACGCAACATGTGCTCTTTTGCTGGTGACTTCACTCGGTGTTAAAGACAGAAGCTGCACTCTAATATTAAAACAAGTAACTATATTCAGCATTTAGAGTGGACCTATAGGTGGTCTGAATCCGAGTAATACAAAGAAAAAAAAGAATCATTGAATGTTTATTCCTTCAAACGTGGAAGTCTGATTTCATGTTCTGAAGTTCTTACTTTTTTTACTCTTTCAATCTGCTCTTCTGCTAACAAGTGACATGTGAACTGTTGTTACATCAGTTAATGTCCTATAATTATCTGGAGTCTAATGCACAAGTGAGTTGTGTTGTTGTTGTGGGTGGCCGGCATGGTGCAGAACTGAATAGCAGACTGACGTGGGAGTGAGTCAGTCGTATTGCGAGTGCCTGAGCTGCAGGATGATTAAGGTTGTGATTACCTTGGCAGTGATTTTTATAATTATGATGATATTCAGGTGCCACACAGAGGACACATGACTGGTGACTGGGAAAGGCACTTTTGCAAAACTTACCTGGAAGAACATGCATCCTGACTGGGTTTGTGTGATGCAAAGAAAACTGTTTTGTGCCAGCAAACTTAGCTGAGTCCTGCAGAAAAAAAATGGCTTCTCCAGAGGCGTTATGTGGCAGCCAGATAACAGCGCCGTGTGGGGATGAAAATCAAATTCAAGTAGAGTGGATTCTGTTTTTCCACTATAGATTCTCCATTAAAGTTGAAAATACTGGCATGATTGTCTGACAACCAGGTGCACAAGATTTTGGAGTAGAGTATTTGGAGTAGAGTATTTATAACCTATAGCTAACAATACTTGTTGGCTTCTTTTTCATCTCCCACTTTAACTACAAGATTGTATCAGCATCAGTCGGGTTTGTTATTCCCTCCCTAATAATAATTTCCTTTAAATTATTTAACCTTAAATTCTGAAAATGTATTGTCGTGACAGAGATATACTAAAGGCCAGTCTGTGTGCTAAATATTTCAGAATGTAAAGCTCATTTAAAAAAAAACAAACGTGTTACTCTGCGTTTCCCCAGACAACACTAATTTCACAGCTGAGCTGCTGTCTCCTGGGAGCCCAGTGCATTATGGGTTACATCCCAGTGTAAAAACTGTGACATCAGATAACTTTTTTCATACTCTGCAGTCTCCTGATGTCAAAGAGAAGTCCTATACTTGTTCTTATTAACTGACGCTGCAATTATTACAAAATATATCGCTGCAAAAAGGATTGAAAGTATAAACTGCCTTATTGAAAAAAAATTCAAAAGTTGTTTTATACATTAAAACTCATGAACTCACAAATCTAGCCTCATTTATCTAGCAGACATTAGGAAGTCTAAATGTTCACACTGAGAATCTCTGATGTATGTTATGCACAAACAAGGCTGACAGCGACGTCACCCACATAGTCCCAGGGGATGACTCACCTGTGTGGGTGTAGCATGGGCTAACATTAATTATTAACAATGGTACGGGTTATTATAAGTCATGTTAAGAGTGTAAGGCCATGAGAGGTCCTGAAAATGTCAGCCTTAATTGCCTTTTTATTTTTTATTACTTTTAAATCACACCCATCTTTTTTTAAGTGTGAAAATAAGGTACCTGTTGATTTCAGACTTTTTAATAATAATATTAAAAAAAATTGAATCCATGTTTGCTGTAATGCTGTAGAGCTTAGTACAAGGTCTCAGATCTGGCCTGCAGGTGGGGCTGTGGACTAAGTTAGTGAAGAAGTAAACGTCCAGGAAACACAGGCAGACAAGAGGTTAATCTAACGGGTAGATCGGGCCATTTTTCAGCGTTGACTGTCGCTCTCCACATACTGTGTGTTATAAGAAGTTTATTTTTAGCAGTTTGATGGACAATTTCAGGAGATATTCAGGTGATACCAAGTGAATGACTCTATACTGCGATGTAATTTGACCATTTCATTTTACTTGAAGTTTAAGTCATTCAATGACAACAACAAACTCGTCCTTACAAATTTATTATTTAACATAAACTTTTAAGAACTGTGAAATGCTCAATCACATGAAATATTCGTCCTTAACTGAATAACAGCGATCATGGTGAACTTTCAGAAGATATTCTGCTTCCCTCCCTCTCAATTAAATACGAAAGAGGATTAGGGCCACCAAAAAAAAAGTGGGCAAAAGTCAGAATTCTGACTTTAATGTGAGAATTCTGACTTTTTTCTCAGAATTCTGACTTTTTACTCAAAATTCTTTTACCTCAAAATTGTTACTTTACGGTCAGAATTCTGACTTTTTCCTCAGAATTCTGGAAAAGAAGAAAAAAAGACGTGCCCACTTTCTTTTTTCCAGTGGCCCTAATCCTCTCCCATAATTAAACATTAACACTTAAATCCAAATAAAAACGGCATCAAACAACCGGCTGTCTGACAGCCTCACCACACAGCCTACACTTTAACCATGAACCGGTTTTAGTCTTTATGATGGGCTCTTCATCGACTCGTGTCCTTCTTAGTCCATGGTCTTATCACTCCAGGCCATTGACTTCCTCTTGGCCAATTCCATCCAGGACGGCTGACCGCTGTCAGACATGGATTGCAGCACTGAGGGCAGTGTGGGTGATGATGACGGTGATGAAGAAGACGCTGCATTTTTCCGTGACCATCTGTCCTCACGCGACCTTTCTGCAACTTTGGTGGGGCTTAACTCTAAAAAAACGAAATGCAGAAAAAATCTAGGTCAAATGGGTTCAGTAAGAATATTACAAAGGTGTTTGTACAGCAATGATTTATTATCACTCTGAGCAAACACACCTGCAAGGTTTACTGCTTGTCTTTCATCTGTATCTTTGATCACAGGTGCGTTTTTTGCCATGGTAGGGGATTCACCTGATCCCTGCATGTCTGTATGCGTTTTCCTCAATTCCACCTAAGAACACACATTCAGGACAATCTTGTCAGTTCAAAACATCCCTATTATCTGTTCATGGCCTGCATTTCAACCACCGTGAGAAAGTGCCATAAAAAGTCCAGAAACAATCATAAATTTAACCTGCTAATAAACCCAGTCAAAATCATCAGTTCCATTGCAATAAAACAATATGTTGGTAGCCACCAGGACACCAAATGAATGACGGACACATGCTAGGCTACTGTTATAGTTGCCAAATAGAGACTTGGAGATTTTCTAAACATTTCTATTTTCAAATGGGCATAGATCTGACTGCCACAGACAGCAAGGGGAGGTCAGGCAGCACTGTGAGGATGGCAAATGATATGAAAGATAGTTATAAAGAAGTACCACAAACCCCCTTGGGTCCAGGCGGTGTGGTCCACTCTCCCCGTCTCTCTAAAAAAGCAGCCTTCTCGCTTACAGAACCAGACCAAAATGCTCTTCGGCTTGTGAGTGGCGGAGCCTCTTTTTGCTCACTGGCTTCTCTCTCCCCTCTTCCTGAGGCAAAAGCTGAAGCAGAGGCTGACGAGGCTGCGGGAGCTGAAGTCTGCGCTGAAGGTGTGGGCTTGAGCTGCTGGGCAGACTGGAGACCTCGATTGCTCCAGGAGGATTGCTGCTGGCCTGAGGAAAGGTAAGACTGCGCAGGAGACTGTGTGGCGCCACCTTGTGCAAACTGAAACGAGGTGTCTGTTTGTGAAGGGGAGCGCAAAGGAGAATGGGTTGTCCACGGATTGGTGGTTACCACTGAATGTGAGGCAGACTTAGTTGTGTTCATCTGGTCTTCACTGGTGTGTTTTGACATTTGTGGATCTCTGGAGGCATTGGACAGCACAGGAGATGCCTTCTGTTGCAGAAATACTGGCGATGTTTTGACAGTCTGTGCTTGGCTTCTGCTTTGATTCGTTTCTGCCGATGGCTGCTTTGCAGCTTGCACAGTCTGTGTCTGTACTTGTGTAAAAGTCTCTGTTGGATTTGTGGGCTGCGCTTGTGCCTGCGGTCGTGCTGAAGATTGCATGTTTGCCTGTAAATTTCCTGCAAAATCTCTGGGGAATCTACTAATGAAAAGTTGTTGAAGGCTCTTGG